ACATTTTAAACTGCTGTTCAATAATAAACAGTCCTGAAATTAACTAAAAAGCTGAAAATTTTAAACCTACCTATAAATAAAACGAATCTATGAATTAATAGTTTTTTTTACTGAATTGTTTTTGGGGTTTTTCCAACTCAAGCCATGTAGAAAATGATAAAAGATGATGGTTTTTTAAAAAACGATGATGATTTTTAAAAGATTACAAAATAAAAGCATTGAAAAAGAACCTGTTCAGAACAGGCCAATTACCAAAGTGCCCAAAGCAAAACTCTCAGAGCCATTATTATTACTGTCACTGTGCTGAAATCCTCGTCTAACCTGTTGCGTTGCACACGCTTTCATCAGAAACACACAAACCATGAGCCCAACAAGCACACGAATGATGAAAAACACTGTACAGCCGTGAAAAAGAGATAAAAACTATGTGGATCTTTGCATGCTTCCGCATAAGAAACCAGATTATTGTGCACATCAATAATAAAGATACGCCATTAAACTAATGCAATCTGTTTGGACTGAATTCGAATGTTCTAACAATGGAAAGATTCTTTAAAGCACATTTTGAAACAAAGATGCTATTTTGAAGTAAAGTACTACAAATTTTTAATTAATATTACAGATTTGAAGAGGGATATAAATGAATTTTTTGTACACAATGAAGTTGCCAACCATGATAAAATAATAAAATGGCTAACTAAATTAAATCAAACTAAACTTAAAATATCTGAAATACACAATAGTTAGCTAGCTATCAAAGAGTCTGGCAGCCATGCTGCTTTGCATGATATGTCCTTATGCAAAAGACATGAAGGAGCGCACATTTTAGTGAACTTACTCAAGGCATTATGATTTAAACGGCATGGAAATACATTAGCCGGAAATACAGACCCTTATAACCAGCTAAAGATAAATTACTATTAATAAGTGATAATATTACCAACAACAGAGAGAAATCAAATAGGCTACAAGCAAAGCAGTGTATTTGTTTTTCCCTTTTCTTGTCACTTCTTAGAAACAGAAGTTGTCCAAACCAAGCAGAAGTGCATAAAACCCTGATTTCATGCTCTCTCTGACAGTGAAAGCATTAAATCGCCATGTTATATTACATTATATTTTAATAACTACACTATAGCCTGTGCTGTACCTTAAAGATTTTGCATGCATGAACAAAATCATCAATAACTGCATAACAAACCAAGCAGACAAGCATTGAAAGAAATCCATCAAGACATTTTTAACTTCAATTGTTGCTTCCGGCTAAAATACGAGTCCATAATTCATAATAACGCTTCCTCCAGTGAAAAAGCCCATATCCTGTTGTCTCGAACATCAAAATCCAGCCACATATTTGTTTTTAAACAGTGCTGGATCTGTGCAGATTTCTCTCCTGATTCAGACCAGACCACTTTTTCACTGGAGGAGGCGTTTTTATGAAACCGGGAGCAAATTTAAAAAATGCTCGATTTGTTTCTTTCAAACATGCAGATTTTGGTCATTCATTGATGGACTGGAGTGCTGTGGATTATTGTGATGTTTTTATCAGCTGTTTGGACTCTCATTCTGACGGCACCCATTCACTGCAGAGCATCCATTGCTGAGACACTGATGCAATGCTACATTTCTCCAAACCTGATGAAGAAACAAACTCATCTAATTCTCGGATGGCCTGAGGGTGAGTCAATTTTCAGCAAATATTCATTTTTGGATGATCTACTCCTTTAAAAAAAATAAAATAAAAAATAGCTACATGCAAAATGCATCGCTTATTTTCATTTGATTAGATATTATTAATAAAGTCTCTGTATTACCGTCAATATTATGCATGCATTCATGCAATAAATAATCAACAATTGCACGCAAAAATCATCTCAAGTACGTCTTCATAGCTTAGACATTTTCCTACCACTAACTTTCGATGACTGTAGTTCGTTAGATATTAAAACTATGCTTGATGCTTTACCATAAAGACCATCCACGCATGAAAGAAAGAACCAATCGATGCAAAATGCATGTCAAATTCCTGGTGTTCAGCTCGGCTCAAGTTCAAACAGCATGAGAGATGGAGGTTTAAATGGCCTTTGTGTATGTGTGCAGCCTACAGCAGAATGCATCATGGCTACTAAAGCGAAATGCATGAAAAATCACACGCGAAATTATTAAAGCAATACATATACATCACACACTGTGACTTATGCATCAAATGCACTCACATGCTAACGCTTTAGTGTGCTAATAGTTCTCACTAGCAGCGTTCAGCTGCTGATTTGACAAGCATATCAACACAGCTGCTCTCTTTAACATCCCAAATAACAATAAAAACCCCTCCAGTGTCCGCGGACTCGACCCGAAAGCGCTATATAGATCGTATATATCGCGTTACCTCCTGCTCTGGTTCGTTTTGTGCTCTTTTTCGCTGTTTTCTTCTCGATTCTCTCCGTTTTCTGGATTCTAACGTTAAAGGCTCGGTAGCGTTACGGCAGCGCTGGGCCGCGTCTCCGCCCACTGCAGCGCGACGTGTGCCGTGATTGGCTGGCTCGCACCAAAGCGTAACCTCCCATTGGCTGACGCGTTCGATTGACGGCTCAACCGGCCTTTCGCGTCGTGTTTGTGCATTCTACTATCACGGAAATCACGTATTTCACGTAATAGCAGTGTGTCTTCCGGTATTGTTTCACGGTAGCGTTTGATGGAATATGCCATATACGGTTTATATCCCAGATTCTTCCCGTTTTAAGCATGTTTTCAGCTAAATACGTTACAAATTGAAGAAAAGCCTTAATTTAAACGACGTGGAAATATGTTCAAAGAACATACACAATATAGACTATCTAACCATCTATTTATCCATCTACCCGTTTTTCTTTTATTTATTATTCAGAATTAAATTAAAATTTGAGGGGGGGGGGCGGGGGGGAACGTCTATGTGGTGCAAGATTTATTTGTTTCACAAAAAGGCCTTCAGGGTTT